GTTTTTTTTCAGCAAAATTTCTTAGTTGTGTTTGAAATTTTTCTGATAGTTAGTAGTAGTAACGTTATAAACGTCACGTGTTTGTTATTTTTCTTTAAATATTTATTTTATTTAAATTTCTTGGCCATTTCAATTTATTTTATTGTTTTTATCCTAAAAATAGTTGGCGCTTAACCCTTCGATCAACTAAACATTATATTTAATCTTTATTTTTCATTTTCAATGTTAATTCAGTGTCTCTTTATAATTTCATATTTGACTTTGTATACATATTTATACATTATTATTAAAATAATGAGATCAAATATTTTATTCAACAATTTATTTACACAATTTAAACAGTTTATGTATATTAAAATCAGTTGTTCACACGGTTATCACAGTTTTGTTATAAAAAACGCTCCATTTTGTACTTCGTACATATCAAAATCTTATAATGTGTCAAACTATACTAAATCACTGATTTATTAAATACCTTCGGACCTCGACCTCCGCCACTGATCACAGTATTGCTCTATCTACACCGGATGATTTGCTCTTTTTGCTCCAACAATAACACCGGCTGATTGAAATTTTGATGGAACTTACACCTGCTGTTTTCAGATTTTCAGCGATTGTTTTCCCTCGAAATAGAAAATCGGTTTTGATTGCGATTTCATCCGTCCTGTCTGTCTGTCCGGTTTGATCCCGCGTGCGTGAACAGAGACAAAAATTAATGATTCAAACTAATCAAGCTCGCTCAACGATTCTCTTTTTATTGGTAAATGCGTGGAAAATAATGAAACAACAATTGAAATTTTCCTGCGGAGATGATTCCTGCTACGAATTATGCTGTGTATGATGAATGAGTTTTATGGAAAATCCATGAAAAATTATCTAATGAAATACGCGTAATGTAATTACTTTTGCAAATACTGTTGATTTGATGGGTGATTTTCAGATTTTCTGGCTTTAGTTGATTATTACATAAAAATCGATTTCATCGGAAGTATATAAAAAATATCGAAAAAAAATATGTAGGTGTGAATATATGAAAGAAGAAACAGTTTGTAGGAGACTAGAAATAGTGTAAATAGGTAAAACATGCGGTCATGAAGGATATTCTGTAAGAAAAGTTGACAAGATAACCAGGTTACAAATGCCTGGTTGGTAAAGTTTTCCCACAGAAATAACATTTACCTCTGATAAAGGATTTGTTGGTCATGTTGTTTATAATTTGTTTCAAACTATACTGCAAACTACCACGAAAGAAAAAATTCCGCTGTTTTCGAAAATTACTTTGGTTAAATTATAGTTTCTAATAGAACAATTGTTTTTTTCCAACAAAGCTTTTTCTTCGATTTTGCCACGAATATTCAACCAGAAAAAGGGATATTTAGGTCCTCTCATTGTGTTTTATAAATGCGACAATTATAGAACTATCACTCTTATATCCCATGCCAGCAAGATAATGCTACATATAATCAATGAGAGACTGAAAACATTCATCCAAAGAGAAATTCCACAAGAGTAAACTGGATTTACCAAAGGTAGAGGCACTCGAGAACACCTGCTGAATATAAGACAGATAATCGAGAAATCTAGGGAATTCAACATCCCACTATACATCTGTTTTATAGATTACCGTAAAGCGTTCGACAGGGTCAAGTGGAGACACTTATAGCGAATACTAAAAGAAGTAGGCGTACCACAACATCTAATTACGCTTATAACTGAACTATATGAACACACTACTGGATCAGTTAAAGTACTTGACACACTTTCGAACGAGTTTCATCCAGAACGGGGCGTCAGACAAGGATGTATAATATCTCCACAATTATTCAACATATATGGGGAGTATATTATGCGAAGAGCACTTGAAGGATGGGAAAAGGGCATCTCAATAAATGGTCATAAACTAAACAACCTACGTTTCGCAGATGACACAGCCCTTCTTGCAAATAGTCAAGCAGAGCTGATGGAACTTATACGACTGATCGAAAACGAAAGTCAAATATTTGGTCTGCAATTAAACATATCAAAGACAGAGATCATGATAGTGGATAGACCACACAACAATCATCCACACATAACCACAATTGACCGGTTCGAGGTTGTGAGCTCATACTTATATCTGGGATCATTAATCACAAACACAGGGTCATTCCAAGAAGAGATTAAACGTAGATGTGATGTAACAAAAGTTGCCACAGCAAAAATGACCAAAATATGGAAGGACTGTCAAATTTCAAGAGCGATAAAGATGAGGTTGATCAACTGCTTAATATTCCCAATACTGACCTACGGATGTGAATCTTGGACTCTGAGACAATCGAAGAGAAAAAAGATAGACGCCACTGAAATGTTCTGTTGGAGACGAATGTTACGAATTCCTTGGACCGACCGTAAAACAAATAATTCAATTTTAAGAGAGCTAAAAGTTAGCCAACGACTCTCTAGTAAAGTCCATCTCCAACAATTAAAATATTTTGGGCATGTTATGAGAGCAAACACAGAAAACATGGAAAGACTCATAATACAAGGAAAGTTAGAAGGCCGCAGATCACGAGGAAGATCCCCAAGAAGATGGATAGACCAAATTACAGGAATATGCCAAAGACTTATGCATGAATTAAAAGAAATGGCCAGAGACAGAGATCTCTGGAGACGGACAATACACGACATCACTTCGACCACTACACTCCCCCTGGGGGGTCAGGATTGGAGAGAGAGATTGTGTGACATAAGTTTTGGACCTCTCTCATTTTGTGATGTTGATCAATTCTGATCTTTGTGCATGATCTTCTTTTTTGTGCATTTTCATTAGGTATGTGTGCCGGTCAACGGGATTCTGATCTACAAGATAATGAAGGTCATACCATGCCTGAAAACCTGCCAACTAATCAATAACCTCCTAACCAACAGACTGTTGCAAGTATATATAAACGATACAAAGAGCAATGTCAGAAAGCTAAATAATGGCATCCCACAGGGTTCAGTGCTTGCTCCACTATTATTTAACATTTACACAGCCGATCTTCCAGAGACAAAATCAAAAAAATTCGCCCTAATGCAAACAAAACTAAGACAAGCCTCTTCCATTTCACAAATCAGCTTTCGGATGACACCCTTAGCATCACCTTCAATGGCGAGACTTTGAAACATAATAACAACCCTAAATACCTGGGTGTAACGCTCGACAGATCACTGACGTTCAAAACCCATCTTACGAATGTAGCTGCCAAAGTGAGAACCCGTAACAACATAATAACAAAGCTTGCTGGAACGACATGGTGTGCCACTGCGGATACACTTCGAACCTCCTCACTGATGTATTCTGTCGCTGAATACTGCACACCAGTATGGCTAAATAGCGCTCATGTCAACAAGATTGATGTTCAACTAAATTACACTATGAGAGTAATATCTGGTACTATTAAATCAACTCCACTAAGATGGCTTCCAATTCTGTGCAATATAGCACCTCCAGATATTCGACGAACGGCAGCACTTGTCAGAGAATATCAGAAAATCATGGCAAATAGTCGTCTGCCAATTCACCAGTATATTCCGCACGCCGCACGAGACCAACAAAGACTGAAGTCCAGACGATCCCCTGTCCAATCCGTTCAGGGAATGGGTGATAGCTACAATAAGCAAGAGCAGTGGACGAAAAGATGGATGCCAACAACAGAGCCAGACGTCATCAAAATAACAAGTACGTCGATCGGCTTCACTGGATCAAACCTGCCACGCCCTATATGGACAAAATTAAATCGCATACGCACGGGTCATAGCAAATGTGCCGATTCTCTATACCGATGGGGTCATGCAGAAAGACCATAATGTGATTTTGGATCCCCAAGACAGACCATCCAACACATCATGGCGGATTGCCCAATCCGCAGATACAGCGGAGACCTTCAAGATTTTGCACAGTGTTCTCCTGGTGCAATTGAATGGCTGTGCAATTTGGACATTAATATTTAATATTTAACTTAGATTACAATTCCAATTTGAACATAATTATTATCTAAATACTACTTTTATCGTACTGTAATTATCCATACGCTAAATAAAATAATAGAAATCTATAAAACAGAAATATTTTTTATAAAGTCAACGCTCTTTTGTTTAACTACAAGAATATTATTTAAAATATATATAATAATCTGTGTTTACCATATTAAAATGTTCTTAAAACTTTCATCTCCATTTCCACCCGGAAAGCAATTTATGATGGCGAAGAAAAATTGGTTAAGTTCCCGTCGCCGTCTCGTCTTCCTCGGAAACTCACACGTCTCTTTTCTACCCTTGATTTAAAAACAACCCTCTTGTCACATGGGAAACAAGTAAACATTGAAATATTATGTAAACACTTGACAGAGCCCACGAACCCTCTAATAGTTTTCTCTGCAATTTGTATACTGGAAAAATGTTCTTTCTTTCGCTCCTCCGTTGCACGTCGCTGACAGGAGTCGTTTCGGAAAATTTGTTGGAAAAGGAAGACGTTAAAAAATCCGAGTATTTGCGAATATAATTACTTTAGCTTTAAGTTTGGCATCGACTATGACATCACTTGGTATTTTGTGTTCAAAAGCATATTGCAAGCCTTTTTCTTTTGCGTGAATTATTGAGCATAAAAACCAGTCACTTTTGATGAATAAGTAATGCTATTTTGGTACATTCTTTAAAATCTTAATAAACTTATACTTTTGTTAGTTATTTATAGATCTCCAAATTTTGTTACGTTTTATTAAAGCTTATTTCAAATTGAGTGGCGAGCCCTTCCACGAAATAGTTTATCGCGCAGACAATAGAATATCTATGATCAGACCCAAGCAGTGGCGTTGCAACATTCAACAAATAAAATTATTTGAAATCGCACTAATTGCAAAATTATTACTTACTTAAGTAAAGAATGGAGTTTAATTGTACACAGATTGTTTTATAGATACCAAACTTTTTGTCAATAAATAAATAAATTCTTCCTTAAATAAATATTTAAGGAAGCCTTAATGGAGACAACCGAAGGTATTATTGTGAATGAAGTAACCGTCAACAATATTAGATATGCCGACGATACCTTAGTGCTTGCTAATTGCGGAGAAGACCTTCAACATTTAATGAACAAGATAAAACAGACTTGTGATCAGTATGGATTAAAACTCAACGTTAAGAAAACTAAATATATGATAGTTAGCAAACAAAATTATCTACAGGATGACGGTATAAAAGTCGGAGATGCCACACTGGACAGAGTAAAGAAACTCGTGTATCTTGGCAGTAATATCAATGAGAGCTGGGATCAAACCGCAGAAATTAAAAGCCGAATAGAACAAGCCCGAGCTGCCTTTGTAAAAATGAGAAACGTACTTTGCAGTCACGATCTTAGCATTAACCTTAGAGTTCGAATGACATCTTGCTACATCTTTCCTGTCCTGCTTTATGGAGTGGAAGCGTGGACTCTATCTGAGGCTATCCTTAAACGCTTGACAGCCTTTGAGATGTGGGTATATAGACCACTACTAAAAATAAGCTGAGTCTACAAAGTTAGAAATGAGGAGGTCCTTAGACGGCTGAACCAAACAACACAACTGGTCAATATAATAAAGAAACGCAAGCTGGAATACTTCGGTCACATTATGAGACACCCTGAAAAATATGATCTTTTACATCTGATCATTCAGGGAAATATCCAAGGTAATCATAGTTCTGGTAGACGAAGAATATCATGGCTGAAAAATCTAAGGCAATGGTATGGAAAATCAACTACATCGTTATAATAAAGCTGCTGTCAATAAAGTCACGATAGCGAATATAGTAGCCAACATGATATCCAACGATTGATAATGGTCATGGAACTAGAAGAAGAAGAAACTTTTTGTTTGTTTTAATACCATCTTTAATAGTTGATACTCTATAAAGTTTGGTAAAAGTTAATTTCTAATTTCTAATTCCAATTCTAATTTAGTATCAGAACAAAAATCATGACCAATTTGGTGCCCAACCAGAACATCAGTATTGGTGGGAAAGAAATAGAACTCGTAGATAGATATAAATACCTGGGACATGAAATTATGATTTGCATAGATAACCAGACTCATGAACTGAAGAGAAGAGTCGGCCTTGGGTGGGCAGCATTTGGAAAACTGAGAGAAACTTGGGAAAGTGAGCTGCCCACATGCCTAAAGAGAAAGGTATTTGATCAGTGCGTCCTCCCAGTCTTGACGTACGGAGCAGAAACACTTACCTTAACAAAAGCAGCAGCTACCAAACTGAGAGTCACGCAGAGAAGAATGGAGCGGTCCATGTTAGGAATAACTCTCCGAGACAGAATAACAAACGAAGACATCAGGAGAAGAACCGGAGTGACTGATATCATCGAGAAGATAGCCAGACTAAAATGGAGATGGGCAGGACACATAGCCAAAATGACAGATGGGCGATGGACAAAGAGGTTATTGGAATGGAGGCCAAGGGAAGATAAGAGAAGCGTCGGTCGACCACCTACAAGATGGACTGACGATTTAAGAAGACTCAATAAAAACTGGATAAGAGCGGCGCAAGATAGACGGGGTTGGAGACATGGGGAAGAGGCCTATGTTCAGCAGTGGACTCTTGAGGCTAGATGATGATGATGATCAGTTACCTTAAGACCGTAATTATAGAATCATTATTAATGACCTTATTAATGTCCTTAACGACTCGTTAAGGACATACAAAGAACATATTTGTCGAGTCTTAATAAAAAAGGTGCTATCATGCGTATTAGAACCAATGGAGATGGGTGTAGTACGAGTAAACAGATCAGATTGACAGCAGAATCTAAAGGAATAGTTTACAATGTATTTAAATATATGCAAATACTATTTCATGAGGATAATCAAACCAGTATTAAAGAACGTGGGAGTGAAGCTACCGGAGTATCTTTACGTACAGTAGAAAAGATCATTGAACAAGCAAGTATGTTAACAAACGCAAAGTTAAATAATATATTTCCATAATAATACACTAAAATTTCCAGCTACATCATCATCATCTTTGGCTCGACAATCCTCTGTAGATCTTGGCCTGCTCTAAGATTCGTCGCCATTCTATTCAGTTTTTGGCAACATGTTGCCATCTTTTGCAGCAATCCGTATCTGTAAGTCGGTTTCAACTCCATCTAACCACCTAATTCGCGGTCGGCCTTTGGTTCTTCTTCCTACAGGTGTTCCTGTGGTTAGCTTTTTAGCAATCGTATTTTCTGGCATTCGTATTATGTGTCCAGCCCATCTAACTCGCTGTGTTTTAATGAACGTTATGACATCTGGCTCATTAAAGAGCTGATACAATTCAAAATTATATCTTCTGCGCCACTGCCCTTGGTCGTTTATAGCTCCAAATATTTTGCGGAGTATTTTACGCTCAAATATTCTCAAAAGTCTTTCATCTTTCTGCGTTAGAGTCCATGTTTCTCCTCCATATGTCTGACCGGCCGCAGCAATGTTTTGTATATAATAATTTTAGTTCTTTTTTGAATGTTTCTTGAGTGAAAATGCTTTTGGAGTTCATAGTATGCCCTATTTGTAAGATTTATTCGTTTTTTGATTTCTTCGCTTGTTTTATTGGTAGCAGTCAATAGCGACCCAAGGTATATGAAGTTGTCAACACGTCCAAAGGTATGACTTCCAAAGACTGTTTCTCGTTCCTCATTTGCTATCGGATCCTTTGTAACCAACATGTAGTTGGTTTTGTCTTCGTTGATGCCTAGACCGAACTGTTTCGCCGCTGTTTCCAATTCTGCTCAACATCTCGCTTGCTACGCCCTATTATGTCAATGTCATGAGCATATGCTAAGACTTGTATCGATCTCCAAGCCAAATTTCCAGCTACAACATTTACTAAAAGGAAAGCAACCATAACAGACTTGAGGGGTATGACAAACAGTTCATTTAAAATACCATTCATCGTTTCATGGGACTGAACTTTGTCGTGTATCATTGAAGCTTTCGCAGAAAAGGCTTGAATAGGTGTACGATGGGACTGAAAGTGTGAGTGCTCTCTACAGAATTTTGAAAGATTTGGGATTTAAATGGACAAAATTGGACAAAATTGGACAAAATTATACTATTTTATGAATTCTGCAATTCTTAATTTATATGAAGCACTAATGAGTAAATATTTGTCTCTTTCGGGATTAATTGCAAACATATGTTGGAATCTTTCAACTGCTGATTTGGCCATTGCCAAATCTATCCCTTCGGCCATATAATTAGAGGACCTAAATACCATTTACTTCGCCTTATAATACAAGGCAAAGTGGAAGGAAAGAGATGGATTGGTCGAAAGAAACTTTCATGGCTGCGTAATATTAGACAATGGTGTGGTTTCACAGTATAAGAATTATTTCGCGCAGCAGCCGAGAGAGAAAGGTTTCAGAAAATTGTAAACATGATGACGGCCAACGTCTGAATACGGACACGGCACCCAAATAAGAAGAAGAAATCTATCCCCTAATCTATCCAAGGGTAATTGCCAAAATACTGTCTAATAATTAACTGCAATTAATCTTCAAAGAAAGAAATATTTACTCATTTATGTTTTATATAAATCAAAAATTGCAAAATTTATAACATAATATAAACAAAGTGTACTTTTCTTAAGCTTTATCTTTTTATATTTGAAGCATACAGCATCTACATTATAAAAACATGCCAACACTGCTACAGCGAAATTTTTTGTTCCATGTTTGACATTTAGCTGACTATAATCAGCTTGTACTTTCGGTAAACTCAACTACATATTTTTATATATATGTCAACGATTTGTTAAATTTACAAAACATTTTTTAACTTTAGTAATAGTCGTCCAAAGCAATCACGAACGAACACTCATTGTCCAAACATAAGCCTTACGCAAACACAATTTTTAAAATAACCCGTATTATTATGTTTTTATTACATCCACAAATCAAATGCGTGTGTCGGTTTCATATCGAAATCAACCCTATTAAGTATTCCCACTGTCGGACAATATAAATAAAATATTTGTAAATATTATACAACGTAAGATAATCAGTATTGTTTGAGTAAAACAGTAAGCAAAGAATTGGTAGACTGGAAAAAGTAGAAACAACTTTTGTCATGTCAAAACAATAGCAATGAGAGCTGCCGAAAGAAAGATAAAGTTATGGCAATTTCACCAAAAATTAAACTTTTGATACAAAAAAAGTGTTCGAACAATATTTTTAAGACAAAGATCATGATAGTAGATAGAGTTGACTATTGCTAGAACAGCCATGATTAAACTGATAGCAATTTGGAAAAATTCTAGCATAACAACACAGAAAACTAAGGCTGGTAAGAGCACTCATGTTTCTCATAAGAATATCCGCTGTTGAGAATATCCTGGATTAAACATCGCACTAACGTATCGATATTAGAACAACGTGGTCGTCCTCTCTTTCTTCTTTCAGGAGGGATCCATTCCAGTACTCTTCTAGTCCATCTGTACTCTGGCATTCTTTTAACATGTCCGAACTATATTAATTGGTTTCTTTCAATGTCATCATTGATATTTCGCTCAATTTTCAATTCTTTTCTTTAGTATTGTTATAAATAGTAGTATTGTTTAGTAGTAGTATAGTAAATTTAGTAGTATTGTTTATAAATATTGATTACTCCTAATCGAAAATATTTTATTAAAAGGATGAGAAATTTTATTAAAATGAGTAAGCGAACTGTTTAATAAATGCTTACATGCGGGTACGATTCCAAAAGACTGGAACAATACAGTAATAGTCTTGTTGCACAAAAAAGGCGATATTACTAAATTAGAAAATTATAGACCCATCAGCCTCTTGACACATATGTACAAACTCTTTATGAAAATCTTAACAAAGAGGTTAACACCTAAATTTGATTTCTATCAGCCCAAAGACCAGGCAAGCTTCAGGGCAGGATATGGCACAAATGACCATTTGCATACCATAAAGATCTTAATAGAAAAGTGCATCGAGTACCATTGGTTCTTGCATTTGTCGATTACGAGAATACTTTTGATTCTGTAGAGTTTGAAACAATACTGAAAGCCCTAAATCAAAGCCGAATAGATTACAGGTACACGACACTAATCAAAAACATCTACGAGAAAGCTACATTAAGTATAAGACTACAAGAAGACAGAAAAATTCAGCTTAGGTCGAAAAGTTAGGCAAGGAGACAATATTTCACCAAAATTGTTTACGGCAGCTCTAGAGTCAATATTTAAGAGCACCCAATGGCAAGATATAGGCATCAATATAGATGGAGAAAGAATAAATCACCTTAGGTTTGCAGATGATGTTGTATTAATCGCAGATAACTTACGTGATACAGTTTCTATGATGCATTCGCCTAAAAGTCTGTCTGAAAGAGCAGAATTAAAGATAAACTTTGAGAAAACTAAACTTATAACCAATCTCGTAATGAGTGGAAATATAACTATCGACAATAATACCATACAACAAACAGAGACTTACAAATATCTGTGACACGAAATCAAAATAAACAGAGACAATTAAACACATGAAATGCAGAGGTGAATAGGCCTAACATGGGCAGCATTTGGCAAATTAAGCCATATTCCAAAAAGTTCAATTCCCATGTGTCCCAAGCGAAAGGTTT